TCTCGCTTTCTATTTCTGTCTCTCTCTGTCTGTCTGGCGAGTGCACGCGTCCTATAGCGAAAACCTCTCAAAAAAAAAAAAAAAAAAAGGAAAAAAAAGAAAAACAAGCATGAGTGATTCCAGCAATAGTTTAATTGTTGAAATATGGCATTTTGGAAGTTAAAGAATGAAAAATATGGGGCTGGCAGGTGGCGTGGTGGTTAAGGAGGCTGGACTCCCACATGGCTGACCATGGTTTGAGTCCTGGACCTGGCAGCTTGCTTTCTCACTTACCTTCTCTCTCTCTCTGGTCAACTTCAAAAAAATAAAATAATGACAATGAATCAAATTATTCCTAAATTTTTTTTTTAAATTAAAACGTCCTATATTCCTATTTTAAAGATGTTTATAATTAAATACATTAAAGATAATTAGGCAAACTGTAATTGTTCTTATTTTGGAAAGAATTTGTCTCAAATATAATTCATTTGGCATACTGCTTTATGTGAAACATACTGTTTAATGTGGGCTACAGAAGGAGATTGGGGCATTAAGAGGACATTAACACACTTCACAGAAGAATCCCACCTGGCTAGTTGATAAAGATGAAGCTGCAGTAATCAGGGAAATGCAAGTAAAACTACAATGAGATCGTACTACATACCCACCAGACTTGCCAAACTGAAAAGGACTGACGATACTAAGTGCTGGGAGGGAACGGGGCAAGGAGACTCATACAGTGGCTAGGGTTAACACTTACAAAAACAGCTTGGCATTATTTATTCAGAGTTTCCGATACACATTAAACACTACCAGGTACGTATCATACAGAGACTGACATAGATATGATGGGATACCTACCATATGTGAAGACTGTTCAAATAGACCCAACCGGAAATCACCCAGATGTCCATCCATCACAGAATGGCTAAAGAAACTGTTACATATTGCTATGATGGAACATGGTAACGTGCAGCAATTAAACAAATTGCAGGTATGTGAACCACCTGCATAACATATGGATTAAAAACAATGTTAAGCAAAAGAGCAAAGATAATGTTATGCAAAGCAGCAAGAACTGATCATATACTATACTGTTCTACCTACATAAAGTTCCAAAGAAAGGACAAAACGAAACGAGGTTGTTTAGGGATGCATATTTGTGATAAAAAAGCAAAGCAAGGCAAGGATTATCATGGAAGTTAGAATAATGGTCACCTCTAAGAGGGAGGGAAAGA